GGCCCGGCCCGGGGCTCGCAGGGGGACCGGGAGCCGCTGTACCGCGAGTGCCTGGGCCGCTGCGAGCGGCAGAACTGCTCGGGGGCGGCGCTGCGGCACTTCCGCGCCCGCCAACCCCTCTACATGGGCCTGACAGGTACCGCCCCCTCCCCGCGCCCATTGGCTGTCGGGCCGGGCCGCGCCCCCACAGCTGGCAGGCCACGCCTCTCGAAGAGACCACGCCCTCTGTTGAAGGCCACGCCCCTCTCAGAGGCCACGCCTCCGCACCGAGTGGCTGGGCGGGCGGGGCCGGGGAGTGGGGTCGGACTGGGAGGCACTGGGCCGGACTGGGGAGCACTGGGCTGTCCTGAGGCCGGGCTGGGGGTGCTGGGCTGTACTGGGAGGCACTGGGGATCACTGGACCATGCTGGTTCTGCACTGGGGGTTACTGGGCCATGCTGGGGGGGGACATTCGGGCTATACTGGTGGGCACTGGGCCATGCTGGTGGCTATTGGGGCCATTCTGGGGTCATGCTGGGAGGCGCTGGGCTGCGTAGTGGGATACTGGGCTGTGCTGGGCCATGCTGGGGGTCACTGGGCCGTTCTGGGGGGGACACTGAGCCTTACTGGGGACCACTGGACTTTGCTGGGGGAGGTGCTGGCCTCTTTTGGGCTGTTTTGGGAGTCACTGGACCATTTGGGGGGATACTGGGCCATACTGGGGGTTGCTGGGCCATGGTGCTGGGAGCCACTTGGGGAAGACCCAGGTGCCCAGCCTGCACCCAGCACAGCAGGGGGGTCCCTGAACTGTGCAGGGTGAACCCAAGCTGGGTCCTGGCACTCCCAGCGCCCGTTGTGGTCTGACCGTGCTGCCTGATGGTCCGTACTGGGAGGGACTGGAGCAGCGGGGGGCTCAGTGGCCAGGGCAGAGGCCGCACCAGCCTTCCCCGCCACCACTCGTCTCCCCGGCTGCAGGCTGGACCTGCCGCGATGACTGCAAGTACGAGTGCATGTGGCTGACGGTGCGGCTCTACGTCCAGGGCGGCCACAGGGTGCCCCAGTTCCATGGCAAGGTGAGCAGGGGGGGCTGGGGAGGGGTATTGGGGTCCCCCTCAGCTCGCTGACATCGCCATTCTCCATTGCAGTGGCCCTTCTCGCGGTTCCTGTTCTTCCAGGAGCCGGCCTCCGCCTTCGCCTCCTTTCTCAACGGCCTGGCCAGCTTCGTCATGCTGCTGCGCTACAAAGCTGCCGTCCCCCCGGCCTCCCCCATGTACCCCACCTGCGTCGCCTTTGCCTGGGTGAGCCGTGACCCCCCCTCTTCCCCTCCCCAGGGGGCTTTGCTGCACCCCACGTCCTCGCTGCTCTGTCTGGGGGTCTTCTTGCAGCCCCCATGGTCTCCCCTTATTGTGGGGCCCCCCTCCCCGCCAGGGTGATGGGGAGGATTTGGGGGGCACAGCCTGCGCTGGCAGGGTGGCACCGGGCCGGCAGCACTTTCTGGGCATCCTCTGCCAGAGCACCGAGTCTCGAGGGCTTTGCAATAACCAGCTGATCAGCAAACCCCGCACAGCTCCGGCTGCTGCCGCTGCCCCGGCCGCCGGCGCCTCCGCATCCAATTTTCAGGGCACTCGTCTTCCCTAATGAGGCTGACGAGCTGCTGAGGGGGAACGTGACCCAGCCGGGGAGCTGGCACTTACTTAGCTGGCAGCGGGGGCTGCTCAGCCTCTCCCCACCCCGGCACTTCAGGTTTCCTCCTCTCACGCCGCCTCTCCCACAGGTCTCCTTAAACGCCTGGTTCTGGTCCACCGTTTTCCACACGAGGGACACGGCTGTGACGGAGGTGAGTGGCACCCCCAGAACCAGTGTGTCTGTGGGTTCGTCACCCTTTGTCCCCAAACCAGTGCTGGGGTCCTGTTGTTCAGCCCTGCTTGGGGGTGGGGGGCTGTGTGCCGGAGCCCCTGTCCCTCCTCGAGCTGCCAGCATGGCTCACCCAGCCCCAATCCTGCAGAAACTGGACTATTTCTGCGCTTCGGCCGTCATCCTGCACTCCGTGTACCTGTGCTGCGTCAGGTGAGCCCCATCAGCACCGTGGGGCACTGAGCCGTGGGGCAGGGTGCTGGGGACACTGGTGGTGGCTGGTTCCTGGGGCCGTGAGTGACCCTTTCTTCCTCCTCCTCACCCCTCTCCCCAGGACGATGGGGCTGCAGCGGCCAGCCTTAATCAGCATCTTCAGGGCCTTCCTCCTCCTCTTCCTCGCCTGCCACATCTCCTACCTGACCCTCGTCCGCTTCGACTACGGCTACAACATGGCCGCGAACGCGGCGATCGGTGAGGCTGGGACCGGGGGCTGTGGGTCTGGAGCTGTCTGGGGGGTCCGTGCCCACAGGTGGGTGCTTCCCTCTCCCTGTTCCCCCTCCTCTGCCCCCCAACTTTTCCCAGGGCTCCTCAACCTGGCGTGGTGGTTGCGGTGGTGCCTGCGGAACCGCCCACGCCTGCCCCACGTCTGGAAGTGCGCGGCCGTGGTGCTGCTGCTGCAAGCGCTGGCGCTGCTGGAGCTCCTCGATTTCCCCCCCCTCTTCTGGGTGCTGGACGCCCACGCGCTCTGGCACATCGGCACCATCCCCCTCAACGTCCTCTTCTATAGGTCAGTGCCCCCCCCCCCCCCTAAAATATGGATGCTGGGGGTCGTCCTCTTAAAATATGGGTGCTGGGCACTCCAGTCTTTCCCACAGGGTGCTGGGTGACCCTCTCTTGCCCATGCTGTGCTGGGTGCCCCCCTCTTGAAACTGGGGTGCTAAGGGCCCCCCTTTGGTCCGTGGGATGCTCAGTGCCCCTCTCTTGAAATCAGGGTGCTGGTGGCCCCCCTGTTGCCTGTGGGGTGCTGGAGGGACCCCGCTGCGGCTCCCCAAGAGCCTTGGGGGGTAGCCTGGCTCACTGGGGGGGTTCAGGGCTCCCCCGATCCCCTGCCTTCCCACCCAGCATTGACAGCCACAGGGGGCCTCCCCCAAGGCCGTGGGGCTGTGGAACCGAGGCCCCCCCGCCC